CCTCCCCTCCCCTCCGCTCTCCTCTCCTCTCTTTTTTTTTCATGGTGCTTGGGATCTAACCAGGGCCTCATGCATGTTAGGCAAGCACTCTACTCCTGAGCTATACCCCTCGCCCCACTCAGTGAGTAGTTCTTGGATGAAACATAAGTCTCTAGATTGTTCTCCATAGGTTGTGTCAGTGTACATTCCTGCTGGCAGAGTAGGAGTAAAATCTCATACTCCTATGTCCTCATCAACACAATTTTGAGATTCCATCTTACTCCAGGAAGAATGGCCAAAACTAAGAGATCAAACAATAACAAATACTGGCAAAGCTGCAAGCAAAAAGGAACCCTCTTTGTTGGTGGTGGGAATATAAACTAGTATAACCACTATGGAAGTCAGTATTGGAGATTCCTCAAACCCTAAAACTAGAAATTCCATTTGTCCCAGCTACTCCCTTCTAGGTGTCTTCCCAAAAGAGTTAAAACATCATATTACAGGGATTGATGCATACTCATTTTTAGGGAAAAAGGGACTAAACTACATGGTTATTAATAGCAGTTATTTTCATTCTTCCTAATGTTTATAGCAGCAGTATTTATAATAGCTAAATCTTGGAAGTGGCCTATATGTCCATCAGTAGATGAATGGATAAAGAAAATACACAATGGAGTACTACTGTGCCATAAAGAAGGATAAACCTGAATGATCTGTAGGAAAATGGATGCACCTTGAGGCCATAATGTTGTGTGAAATAAATCAGATGCACACATTTTTAATAACCCTTAACATAATTATTCTCCAATTTTTGAGCATTTAAATTGTTCGCAGATTTTTCTGTAGTATAGTATGATGCTGTAATGACCAATTCTGTGTATAAATGTTTATAATCACCTTGCCTTAAAATTTTGGAATGCAAGAATAAATTATAATTCTTTTTTTTATTTTTTGCAGAACCAGGGATCGAACTCAGGACCTTACTCTTGCCAGGCTGGTGTAGCACCACTGAGATACATCCCCAGCCCCATAATTCTTTATATATATTCCGAAATTATTTTTCAGAAAAGTTATGCCATTTGATATTGCTATCTGAAGTATGTGCAAGTGGGCATATACATGATGGCTTACTCCTGTAATCTCGGCACTCAGCCCTAGGAGGTTGAAGCAGTAGGATCGCAAGTTCAAGCCCCATGTGGGCAATTTAGCAGACTTAGTGAGAACTTTTCTCAAAAATAAAAAAAGAGAAAGGGCTTGGGATATGGCTCAGTGTGAAGGCCCTGGTTTCAATTCCTAGTACCACCAGGGAGAAAAGGAGAGACAAAAAAAGAGAGAGGGAGGGAGAGAGGGAGGAAGAGAAAGACAGGTAGGTAGGGAGGAAGGGAGACAGACAGGCAAATGTCTTCGTTGCTGAATTGTAGCTAATCATTTTATTATGATTTTAAAAATAAAAATAATGAATATTTATTTTATATTTGCCAAGTGCCTCTGAGTATACTTAAATGAGATTTGGTTTCAAGACCGTTCAAGTTTTTTTATGGGTGCAACCTTAAGAATTCTGGCTTATTGTAGGGTGGCTCCTTTTAGGTCTATTCTAAGGATGGTAGGTGGGTTCTGGTAGTGGTCTAGTGTTTCCCAGGGATCTTGAATTAGCTTTTGAGAAGTTCCTTCTGCGTTTGTAGAGACCTATTGTGACCAAACTGGAATTGCCTTGTGTCTCTACACAGGAAGATAAGACAGTGGGAAGTGGATTTGACAGGTCTCAAAAGGTGGTGATAGGTGAATGAGTAATATTAAAAACTGTTTGTTAAGCCCATAAACTTTGGCTAGTGTCTCTGAGGCTGAGGATCTCTTGAACGTCTTCCTTGTAGGAGCGTTAGTGTTTATAACCAGAGTTCCTGGCATCTTTATATTTATTTCAGTGATGACTTCCCTGTTTTAAAGGACTATACTTTTTCTGCTACTTTCTAAGTTTGTTTTGTTTCGACTGATAACCAAATGGCACACATTTACATGCAAATACTTGTAAGTTTATAGGTATTTGAACCCCAGGGGAGGTTAAGTGATTATTGTTTTTTAGCTTCAAGAGGTGCCTGGTTATATTTAATGTGCATTTTCCCGCTCTTGGGGCAGTGGTGTGTATGATGGAAGAAGCAATCATGGGCGTGATAGCGGGCTAGAAATGGGTTTGGTGCTCCTTTTCACTGTGTCTTAGCTCTCAGCCTCAATTTCTTGTCAGTAAATAACATTTTGATGGTAACATTTTCCTAACAGTGTTGTTGTGAAGATTAAATGAGATAACAGATGTAAAGTGGTGAGTTTAGATGATGGCCTATAGCTGTTATTCAGTAAATGTTAACAAAGAATTGCAATGAGTAAACTGTGGGGATTATTTTGAATTACAGACTATCCTTGAAGAAACCATTTAAAAACATTATTATTTGTAGATTCAGCAACATCTTTCTGAATGGAGGCCCTATAAATTCAGCAAATGAATAAATTAAATTATTTAATTAAAAGAGATATGTCTTGCTAACATTTTTTAGAAGATTCATTTTCTAATGTAAGTGAACATTCATGTTTGTTTATAAAGTCATACATCTTCAAATCTAAATTAGTATAAAGGTAATTAGTTTATATCACCTGGTCTAGAATTTTATAAATTTGACTTGTGAGGACATATTGCATGTTTGAAAGAAGTTAGAATATGAAAGTACTTTATAATGTCATGAGTACCTTTTTCCTCTTAAAGAGTATTATGCATGTGCTTATAAAGATTTTAGCTATGAAAAAACTCAGAATTAAAAACTTATGATATTATTTTAGTAGTAATCTCTTTTCAGAAGTAGTTTTCTTACCTTTACTTTGTATCCTTCATTTTTCCAGGAGCTGACCAGTGCTTTGGTGCATTTAAAATTGCATCTTTTTATTCAGATCTTTACACTTGCATTCTTCCCAGCAACAATATGGCTCTTCCTTCAGCTTTTATCAATCACATCCATCAATGAATGGCTTTTAAAAGGGTATGTGTAAATCTTTTGAAGAGTGTACTTTTAATGGGACATTTCTAGTAACATTATTGCTCTGGCAGCTTTACAGAAAAGGGGTTATGTGTGCTATCTTACAAAGAAGTAAAAACACTCATAACATTATCCTTTAGCCCTACAGTTTCATTAAAAGAGTGATCAAAGAATTGTTTAACAGAATCTTAAAATACACCCCATGCTTACTCTTACATTTAATTAAAATAAGTCCCACTAATTTTTTGGTAAAAGATTTGGTTTTTAATGTAGGTAAATATTCATACTTGCTTATGGTGTCAACAATCAATAATCTTCAGATAATTAGCTTATCTCACCTGCTCTAGAATTTTATAAATCTGAATTAGGGCATATTGAATGTTTGAAAGAATTCTAGAATTTGTAAGATAGATACTTTTCTGGAAATTATAGAGTCAGGAGGAAAATGTAATAGAGGATCTAATGTATATATGTATGTGTATAATGTAGGTTAGCCATTAGATGCTTTAACTCTCCATTTTATATCTTAATAAATATATACAGATAATGGCTATGTGTAGTATGGTTTTTTTTGTTTTTTTGGTGCCAGGGATCGAACTCGGGTCCTTGTGCTTGCGTAGCAGGCAGCGAAACCACTGAGCTAAATCCCCGGCCCTATAATATGTATATTTTAAAGAAAAATATATGTGGAACAGATATTTACTTTTTTACTTGTTCTGTGTCACTTTTGATATAATAGTTGAATTAGCAGTAGATTTTATTAGAATCTTTTCTTTCATTAAAAATGTTTTCATGTTCAATAAAAACAATTTAACAATAAAGTTAATTTGAAGTGATTTAAAATTAACCACATTTTAGCATCATTGTATAACAACTTAAACACTGAACTTTGAACCCAAAGATTGAGTTCTGACCCTAACCCTAACACGATATGTGACTTTGAGCAAATTTATTAAATAGTTTTGGACCTCAGTTTTTCTGTGTATAAAATGATAATCCTACTTTTACTTCCTGTGTAATAATGGTGTTGGGACATTTGAGGTCATGCATTCATTTGTTTAAGTCACCTATTTAACTCCTACTATATGCCAGGAATTATTACGGCTGTTGGAGAAACAATGGCCAAAACGGGCAGTATGCCATTCCATTTTGCCTATCGTGGAGACTTGGGGTATAATTATGAAGAAACAAGTAAATAGGTGAGCAAGACAGAGATGAGTGATGTGGGAAGAGTAAAATGGGATATGATTGAAAGTGTTCAGGTAGGCAGACTGGTGATTAAACTGCAGAGTTTTGGGGGCAGAGTCATCTAAGCAAAGGAAATATGGTACAAAGTCTCCAAGGCAGAAATAAGGTCTGTTAGCAGCTGTACTTACTAATGTCGGCAGATCCTAGTGATGTGGAAGGACAATATGATTTGAAGAGTAGCAACTGCGATCTGAGTATGCTAAATAAAGCACGCGTATAGTTCTCACCTTGGGATGTTACACTTAAAGGAGTATACACTTGATCTACTTCATTTGGATCCCTTCCCCTCCCCAGTTTGAGATTACATACAGAGTAAACTGGAGGGAGTTGCAAACTCCTACCTTAGGATCATGTTGGAGAAGAGCTATTTTGAGCACATCCTTCTTTCTTTACCACGTTAAGGGACAGAGTAGAGGTAGCGCCCATTCAGCACATTTGCAAGTGTTTACATATAGGTAGAAAACACCTGAATGGGGATGGTAGCAGCAGTCATGGGGAAGAATGGGCCAGGGATTTAGCTCAGTGGTTCCACCACCTGCCTTGCAAGTGCAAGGACCTGGGTTCAATCCCCGGTACCAAAAAACCAAAAAAACAAAAAACAAAAAAAAAAAAATGGGAAGTTGGTGGTGACAGACTAGTTAATTTCTGAGGAGCAAGTAGAATCACATACAACTAAAGTTTCAAATTATATCATTAAATGAAAACTGGTTCCTCTGATAAATTCAGATAGGAAATAGATTTTTTAAGAGAATATCTAAATTTATATATAAAAATTTCTAAGATACATCTTAAATATTCTTACCACACCCAGAGACAACTATATCAGCTCATGGAAATACTAATTAGCTTGATTGTGGTAATCATTTACAATGCACACACAGATCAACATGTCATATTTTATACCCTAAATATATGCAATTTTAGTTTGGGAATTATACTTCAGTAAAGCTGAAGAAAAGAAAATATATAAATTTAATATTAGACATGTTTAGTTCATGGGGGGCAGCCCAGGCAGCTGCAAATTTGGTGATAATAGTGCTAGACATCTAAATTGACAGGTGTTTTCACAGATTGAAAGGAAAAGGTAGGTTTAAAAGATAGGAGATAAATCAGAATGATGAAGTGAAGTGGTAACCAAGAAAATAGAGTGTCCTGAGAATGTATGAGCAAATATAGGGAAAAGGACTTTGGATTTGGTGATTTGGAGATCACTGGTTAGTTTTAAGCTCAGTACTCATACTAGTGGAAGGCAGAGAATCAGTTCTAGAGGAATTAAGAGAGATTGAGCTGTGGGGTCATGGTGATAGAGTATTTTTAAAAGAAGATCAACATTGAATTGCAGTGAAACAAGTAGGAATGTTTCTTGAGGCAACACTGCTAATTTTATTGTTAGTTATCCATATTTGTGTATTGAATTGCCTACAAGCCAAGAATAATGTCTTATGCATTTTTATACCCTCATGTAGTATCCTACTCATAGAAACCCATATATTTAATCTATAGTTTTTTATAAGGTAACTTTTTTCATAAGAGGGGGAGAATTCTGTTTCATTGCATGTAAAAAGGAAGAGGCCAGGAAAGGGAAAGATTGAATAAGCTATAAAAGTTGAAAATACCTGAGACAGCTTGTCCTGAACATTTGGGGCAGGGGAGATACAAAGCAGAGAGGCCAGAGGAGGAGGCCCGCATTAATCTTTCGCCCTCACTGCCAGATTAAAGTTTAACCCAGGAGAACTGGCTTTGTGAGTTTGGGTAAATTAGTTCTCTCTTAACTTCAGTTTTCATGAACGTGAGGATAATAGTAATAATTATTTAAAATATTTGATGAGGAATAAATGAGAATGGGTATAAAATGTCCAGCGTAGTATCTACTACAAATGGTAAATGCTCAATATTAGTGATGATGCTGGACCTTAAGGAAGACTCAGAGATTAAGAATTTTTAATAGGACAGAACACTTCAGCTTTACTTAGGAAAATATAGACCTTAAAAGACAAAGTTGGGAACAGTGGCAGCACTTGCAGTCCCTGCTACTCAGGAGACCAAGTCAGGAGGGTTGCTTTAGCCCAAGAATTTGAGATCAGCCTGGGCAACTATGTAGACGCCATCTCTAAAACTAAAATAATAATAAAAGGTCATGTGAGATTGAATGAGCTGGAAATTCTATAAACTGTTTTCTTAATGTTTTAACTGAAATGAATGAAAATATTTTTATTTTTTCTTATTTCAGAAGCAATATAAATTTTTACATACAGTTTAAACAATACATTCTTACAAGAATAAATAAAAATGACTATAATCATACTCACTTAAAATCTGTTTACATCAGATATTCTGTCTTCTATTCTGTGTATGAAATTTCCACACAGGCTGGCTGTTTGCTCTCCCTAGAATATTCTATAGTACTTCTCAGTAATGTTTTTAAAAATTTTTAGTAGTTAGATTTACTACTTACTTTCATTTGGTTGTCAGGCAATTTATTTTGTATTGTAATCTGAGAGAATAGTTTTATGATCTTGGTAATAGAAACATAATTTATTTAATAAAAGCCAAATTTGGAATAGATACTGGATAGAATTTACTATAAGACCTGAATCAGTATATGATTATGTCTCGTGTGTTTCTATAATGACATTACAACATGAAAATCTCTTTTATGAGATGAAAGTTTGAGAGTTGTTTTATAAAAAGAGATTGAAAATATAAGCTTATACTTTATTAAATATTTATGAATTTGGGATGTGGTTTAGAGCTTTATTTTTTACCAAAAGACTTGACAAAAAGTATCAGGAAAATTTTTACTTTACCTGAAAATAACCTAAGATGAAATATATATACCAAATAATTGACCATTTTTGTTGTCTTTCAAGGACTGTAGTCACTATAACTTCACTAAAAATAAACTCGTTCAAGCCTGTGGAATGTAGTGAGAGCACAGAGCCTGGGATGTTGCCTCACATAAATCTAAACTCAACAGAGAATGTGCGTCAATAAACACTTCCTTATTTTTATGTGCTCAGTTCTGCTATTTTAGAATGAATAGAGTGGGAACTATTGTTTTATAATTGGGGAGAAAAAACTATTTAACACTGGATTTTCTTTTATTTTTCAGTTTGCAGACAGTAGGTTGCATGCCTCCCCCTGTGTCTTCTGCAGTGATTTTAACCAAAGCAGTTGGTGGAAATGAGGTGAGTCTTGGGGACTAACTTGATTTAAACATAAATGCATGCTGTGCTTTTACTTTGTTCAAAACTATGTTTTGAACATAAAGGAGTTGTGTTCAGAGACCTCATAACTGTAGCAGCTTATGAAAGAAGAGGTTGTATTCATCTGTTAGGATGATGCTGAAATTGCTGATGATGAGTGGAATTTAGGATTTCAGATGGAAGAGCAGGGGAGATGAATGAAGTAGAGATGATGATTTTGCTACCCCAGTGGGAAATTGGGAGCCAAAAGACAGAGGGGTCCAAGGAAAGAAACTTTTCATGCAAGACTTGTAGGCCGAGGACTTTACTCTGGCCATTTCTTAGTTCCTAAAAAAAGTTCATAATAAACTAAATTGGTTGGAAAGGTTCAGAATGTTTAGTGGTAATTAAAGATGACATAAAAGGAGAAATTAGGCCAGGTTTCTAAATCAGTTCAAAGAAATTATCCAACTGCTAGGGGACTCCAGCAAAAGGATTGTGATTATATTGGAGTAGCAATTGTGCATTTCAGAAGCTACAGTATTTATAGATGGGTCTTCTTTGGTTGAAAAGTGCTACGACTTCATTCTGAGGGACTTTTCTTAGTGATAGGATAGTCCACCTTTCCCCCTTGTGTTTCTCATTCAGAAAAAAGTGCTCTGAAGGAAGATCCATTGGGTCCCCATTTCAGTTCAGCCTTAGGATGCTGTTACATATCTATTTTAACTTTCATCCATTTTATTCTTTTCAAAAATATTTATTATCTGTTATATTCTTTTCTAAAACAAATCTTGTTGAAATAATCTATACATGCAGTAAACTGCAGACATTTAAACAATTTAATGTTTGGTGAAACCCATCATCACACTCCATTTTGCATGGCTCTGACAGAATACCTGAAACTGAGCAATTTATGGGGAGCAGAGAGATTGCTTTCTTACAGTGTTGGGGGGCTGCATCTGGGGAGGGTCTTCTTACAACATCATCCAATGATGGAGGCAGAGGGTGAGCTAGAACCTGGAAGAGAGGGAGAGATTGATTTTGCAGCCTCAGGCCCTTTTATAATTGGCATTAATCCATTCTTGCGTGTAGAGCCCTCATGACCTAAACACCTCCCATTAGGCTCCACCTCTCAATACTGTTGCTTTAGAAATTCAGTTTCTTTTGAAAACATTTTTTTATACCGAGTGTGTGTGTGTGTGTGTGTGTGTGTGTGTGTGTGTGTGTATCCCCGCACCTGGGATCAAACTCAGGACCTTGCTTGCCAGACAGGCGTGGCTCTGCTGAGCTACATCCCTGGCCCTGAAATTCAGTTTCTAACACACGATTTTTGGCTCACCCATTCATCTTCTATTCTGTTTTGTTTTGTGAGATGGCGTTTTACTGTTGTCCAGGCTGGCCTCCAACTCCTGAGCTCAGCTGATCCTCCTGCCTTAGACTCCTATGCAGGCGGACTGTAGGTGTGTACCACTGCATTCAGCCTAGGAGACATACTCAAAACATAGCACCCTCAGAAGTTTTCTATGTCCCTTTAACATCCCTTCCTCTTGCCCTTCTCAGCCTCCCTCTTCCCCAGGTAACCAGGCATTTGTTTTCTGTCACTGTAGATTAGTTTATATTTTCTAGAGTTTTGAATAGTAGAATCATATTGTATGTACTGTTTTGTATTTGTTTTTCATCATAATTCTTTTGAAGTCATCTATGCCTTTATCAATAGTTCAGACTTTTTTATTGCTGAAAAATAGTATTTTGTATGGATAGACTACAGATTGTTTATCCATCACCTGTTGATGGCCTTTTGAGCATTTTGTAGTGTTTAACTATAAATATCCATGTAGAAACCAATAGACATATACTTTCTTTACTCTTGAGAATTCCTGGGGGAGAAATGGCTCCATCATCTGGTAAATTCATGTTTTGGTACCTATTGACCAGGGTATCTCTGTGTTGTTATAATCTTCTATAAATAGCTTTTGAAGTTGTCAGTTTCTATCAATATACAAGCATTCTTCATTTATCTGGGTGTATGTTTAACTTTTAAAAAATTAGCAAAGTAATTTCCAAAGTGGCTATATAGCATTTTACATTTCAGCCAGTTGTGAATAAGAGTTCCAGTGTTCCACATCCTAGATAACACTCACCATTGTCAGTCTTTTTAATTTTTACCATTCCAGTATGTATGTAGTATTATCATTGTGATTGTTTAGTATACATTGCCAACTGACTAGATAATGTTGAGCATCTTTTAATGAGCTTATTTACTCTTCATCAGTATGTCTTCTTTGGTAAAATCTTCATTGGATATATGCGTTATTAAGTATTTTTTTCCAATCTGTGCCTTGCCGTTTATCTTACCAGTGACTTTTGAAATACAGGCTAGCAATGGAGGCAGTAAAACGTGATTGGATTCTGGGTGTATTTTGAAGGCGTTAAGGTACTGATGAATTAGGTGTGTGGTATGAGAGAAGAGGGGTCAAGAATGACTCTAGGGTTTTTGACTGAGCATCTGAAAGGAGGGGTTGGCTGATAAGGAGAAGAGGACTATGTGACAGCAGGTTTGGGGGAGTATTAACCTAGCGAGACTGGGCTCTGTTGGGGTGATCACTAAGAAATCCAGTATCTCAGTAGCTGAGTATGTACATGTATTCCTTGGTCATCTGGCCCATCTGAGTCAGTGGGAAGGCTACTTGACAGTGGCCCCCACCATCTTGTCGGCATACCATCTGGATGGAACACAGAGCATTGTAAGTAGCCACAACAGAGAGATCAGAAAATCACAAACGGACTTTTGACTGCCTAGATCGGCATTTATACATGAACTTCTGTTCATATTAAATTGGAAGGGCAAGGAGAGGAAGGGGATGTAAAAAGAATTAAGATATGTTTTTTACGTGCACCACCTTCCCATGAATGTAATCATTATGTACTGCAGACATGTACTAGTAAAAATAAAAATTTTAATAAATAAATTGACCAGAGCAAGTCACATATTCCTACCAAGTATAATTTCTGTGCGCTGCAGAGGATAACCAGATATTAGAGAATACTTTTAATGTCAGCTAATTCTTGTTTAAGATCAAGAATTTATTTGTTATTTGATATGTTAAAGTGCCTGTTACATATATAAGTATGTGTCTCAACTAAGAATTAAAGATAATAGAGTTGGTAGTTCAGGAAGTGGTCTAAAATCATTCTGGACAAGGTTACCAATTACTTCCATGTAGCATAATGCAATAGTTATTTCTAAGGTCTAATTTCCAGAGTTTAATTGGGTCATGTCCTCTGATGTGAAATGAATAGACCATTTCAAATTGTGGAAGAAAATGATATGTTAAGTAAAGATAGGTAATTTTGTATTTAATATTTTTATAAAATCATTTTATCAGACAACTGAATATAGATTTTATTGCAGTAAATATAAGAGAAGATTAATCTTTCCTAAAATATATTGAAACAAACAAAATCTAAGAATGGGAGGTGGATTTGTAGTTGCATATAAATTAAAAGGTTAAAAAGCTATGTTCAGGGCTGGGGATTTAGCTCAGTGGTTCTGCCACCTGCCTCACAAGCGCAAGGTCCTGAGTTCAATCCCTGCTACAAAAAAAAAAAAAAAAAAAAGCTGTGTTCAGTGTCAGGTGCCGTTTAATGAAAGCTCTGATTCCACCTCTCTGTGATGCTCAGTTGGCCTGCATATACTGTAGTGTTTCGGTATTCACATTGTAACTGCACTAAACACCTGGCTGATGCCACTTGAAAGCCAATATTCACAAGGTTACAGGTAGGAAGGAATCAGGTTTATTCAAGGGCTGGCACTGTGAGAAGATGGAAAGGCTACCGACTGCAAATCTGCATCCTGGCAAATGAAGAGGCTCAAAGTTTGTTTTACTTTTTTTGTGTGTGGTACTGGAGATTGAGCCCAAGGGTGCTTACCACTTAGTTAATCTCCCTGTTTGTTTGTTTATTTTTTTGGGGGGGGAGAGGGTCTTACTAAGTTGCCCAGACTGGCCTCACACTCATGATCCTCTTACCAGAGCCTCCAGAGTAACTGGGGTTATGGGCGTGCTTCACTGTGCCTTGCCTCAAAGGGCTTTTATAGGAGGGAAAGGCAGTACAGTGAGACACTGGCTAGGAAAGCTTTCTGCGGAGCACAGGCTTCATCAGGCAGGGCATGCTTCCTGCACCCTGCCTCTTGCCGGAACCTTGGGTAGTCCCTGTGTTTCTTTAGATAGATTACAGTACTTTTCTGCAAGTTAAACCTGACAGCAGCTTACATCCTTTGTGTTAGTTGATGGAAAAAAGTGCACTTTGTAGCGTGAGAGTAGGCCAGTGAACAGACTCAGAGCAGCCATGAGAATAAGGGGAAAGGGTCTTTTTGTATCTGGAATTCCTGGATTGGCTTTTCCCTCATGCAAGTAGGGCATGTGACAGTTCTATCAAAAATTCACTTGCCTTCGTGCCAGATTTAAATCGTTGTATTGAAGACTTGCTTGGTTGTGCACCAGATGTAAATGAAGACTGGAAAATAGCACTTCTCTAATTTGTTTCACGTATAGTGCTCAGGAACTGGATCCTGTGTTCTGAGCATGTGCCCTGGGTCGCCATGAGTTTGCCCAGTTGTTTAACTGATTTGCCCTAATCTACCTCATTTACCCCTGAGAGGCATAATACCCATAATTCATTATGGGATGCTAATGGAGTGGAGGTCTCTTTTTTCTTATTAGATACTTCCTGCTGAAAGGCACTGTAGGCCCTACCTGCTGGGGATTGTGACTACCGTGATATGTTGGGGCTTACCAGCTGGGCTTCAAAGGAACTGTCAGAAGACAGAGAAGACTTAGTGCCTGTATGTCAAGAATTGTTAAACTGTCTGTTCACTGGGAGAAAGCTCGGTGAATTTGTCAGGAAAGTCATAGGCTGTAGGCTGAATGATCATATGAAGCCTTGAATACATAAACTTTACTATTCAGTTGTGGAGGTAGAGGCAAAGTATGAGAAGGAACAGG